GTTTTAGTTTACGTAGTACGTATAGTAGTTACGTAGTTAGGTAGTAGTCGCGTGTAGTCGTACTATAGTAGTACGTAACTAACTACGTCGTCCACGACCGACTCTACTCTCTCTCTCTCTCTCTCTCTCTCTCTCTCTCTCTCTCTCTCTCTCTCTCTTTTCTTTGGGCAGTTATGGGATTGTAAGTTGTGAGGCAGTGTTGCAATCATCAATGTCTTAAGTAATTAAGTCCAAGGCCAATCATGTCTCCCTTGCTCTCTCTCTTTCTCTCTCTCAAATTAGGATAATAGGTGTTATGGGTTGCTTTTTGTTTATAGCTGGTTCCTTTTTGTTCACACTTCTGATTTTGTTCTTTTTGTGTGATAGGCACTCATATATCAAACACAAGAGAAGCCAAAGCATTTGCATTGTTATCTGAAGAAGGAATTGCGAAGGGTGTTCGTAGGATAACAGCTGTTACAACTGAATGTGCTTTCAAGGCTATGGAGACGGCACAGTCCCTTGATGAAGAAATAAATGAAGCATCCATGGGAGAAGGCAGTTTACTAGAGAAGGTACAGTTATCTGGAACCTTATATTACATGGTTGCGGTTTGTATAGTGCCGAGGCTCTAAACAATCAAATTAGAGCCCACTTTCAAATAGTGTCGAGAAATGTAGTTTGAATACTGAAAATCCTTGTGATAGCCTTAAAATATATCTTAATCTTCAATTATAAAATATAAAGCTTCAAAAATAGTGTAGATCGAGCAGATCTATGAAAACTTGAAAAAACTTAAAAATTGACAGTCCAAAATGCATTACAAAATGCACAGTTTCCAAAACTTGAAATCTCTTTTTTCTCATGTCCATGCATCTTGATGTCGAGATTATCAATTTGAGGATATTTGTGCATGAAAACAATCTCTTCTAGTGATATTTTTGAGGTGGGCTCTAATTTAATTGTTTAGAACCTCGGCTCTATGTAAACTTTTCCCATATTTACATATAGCTTAGTTTGCATTCCCAAAGTTAAGCTGATCAATAAAAGAAAATGATATGATGGATCAGCCATAAGTTCTATTTAGATATTTCATGACTCAGTTCTTTTAATGCTTTTTCAACTGCAAAAGTCCTATTTGCGATGCTCAAGTTTGAAAATTGGTAAAAAATGGATAAAACATTGGTGCTGGTACTCTCTATATTGCACCTACCTTACTCTTCTTTAATTATTTGAAGGGAAAAGATCTCAAGCAACAAAAGAATTAGTTGATGCATCACCTATTATAAAATCCTCGTTTTAACAATTTATTGTTTATCTAGTTGCAGCATTGCATCCTATCTTGAGTCCTGAGTTTCAAGCCGGCAAAATACTTCGCACTTTTACTCTCTTAACAATTTAATGCAAAACCCATTCATTCTTTGATTTTGTGCCAGAACATGTGGGTCACTTTATAAGAATGTAAAAGAGCTTAGCATTGCGTTCTATCTTGAATCCTGAGTTTCAAGCTGGCAAAACGCTTAGCTCTTTTACTCTTATAACAATTTAATGCAACATCCATTCATTCTTAAAGTTTGTGCTAGAAGATACGGGTCACTTTATATCAGTCCTTGAGTAATGCATTTTTTTTTTCTTTTTGGTTTTTAATTGGTAGCATTATTCTTTTTGTTATCCCTCTGGCTGTTCATTGTTGATGGTTCCCAGCTTCTGCCGGGGTTATTTGTGTCATACTCAACAAAATCTGATGTTTTCTTTTTCACACATGTGAGAAGATTTCTGCAAATATTTTTACCCATCCATATTTTCAGCATTCTTTTATGGTAAACCATTGATTTTCATATTTAAACTTCATTTTCTTTTTTCAGAAAGTAGCTTCTCTGAAAAGCCGGTTGGATGCAGCTGCTATTCCGGCAGCTATGAAAGCTGATTTAAGGGCCAGAATTTCTCAGCTTCAGGTATATCCTTCACAAATAACCACCAGCCTTTAACAAAATCTTCTAGAATTGTCTTAGTTGAAGAAAAAAGAATTATAATAATAATTTTGTGTAAAAAGTTCTGAATATCATTGTGGCGAGTACTTTATTCAACTTCCTTATTTCAAGGATAAAAAGTAGAAATTAACCATTACAATGAAAGAGATAAAAAGTAGAAGCTGCAAGTGTCATTGTCATTTCTAGTTGCAAGTGGGTCATTCGCATTTCTTAGTCGTTCATTTGTGAAATTGACACGGACTATGTGGACTATATGTATTTCTTCAGGACCAAGTTAGGAAAGCACAAAAGCAGATAGCAGAGGGAAACCTACAGAAGGCAATCAAGGCTGCCATTGAAATTGCGGAGACAGCTGCTTCTGAGGGAAAGCCTTTCTGTGTGGCACAAATTGATGTTGGTTTGGATACAAGCGCGGTCCGTGAGGCTGTTGTAAAAGTCCTGGAAAAGCAAAAGGTTGTTACTTGCCTCTTATCAAATACATAGATAATGACGATGATGCTGATGATTGTGATTGTTGCTGTTGATGGTTGTTACTTGCCTCTTCAAATACGTAGATGATGACAATGATGCTAATGATTATGATTGTTGCTGTTGATGGTGATGATTGTTGTTGTTTTTGTTGTACCTAAAGTTTGCTATGTTATTATGTTGGTTTGCTACGTTATCATGTTAAATTTGCAACAATTCACTTTTGATGGACTGAGTTGAGGAATGATACAACCCAACTGTCTGATGGGTGACTAGATGCCAGTCAGCTGTTGGAAACCGGAGTTGTATTTATTGTTTTTGTTATTATTGTTGAGGACATTATAAAGTAGCTCCATGCACAAGGTTATACTCCATACGCAATATTAGAGAAAAGCCCTTTTGACCCTGGGAGAGGAGGTTATACTCTGGAGTCTACACTCTATACCTTATAGTCTATAACACAATGAAATGGAGGATCAAGTGACTATTTGGGGCTCTTTGGTGGGCCCCACTTTCTGTCTAATGTTCAGTAGTGTCCATCGTTTCGTTGGATGGTGACGACCTGATTTTCAATGAGGTTACCTCAGCCCCTAGGACTACTATATATATTTAAATAATACTACTATTAATACTACTGTATATACTTAAATATTACGATTAGTACAACTGCTATTGCTATGACCCTTATCATGTGAAATGTAACTATATTGTCACATCTTCAATGTGAATTTGCAGGGGATACCTATCATGATAATAAGCACTGATGCAACATCCAACAAGGCCGTGGTTTATACAGGGGTACCGGACACTGTAGAAAAGAAAGGTTTGCTCCCATTGGAGTGGTTGAGGACAGCTTTGAAACCTCTCAAAGGAAAGGGGGGAGGAGGAAAGGGTGGAATCGCTCAAGGACAGGTGTCTTGCTTGAGTGTAGCTTTTTTGTTTTTCCCATTTCTTTTAATTTTTTGCTCATAAATGTCCGAGTCATTGAACTTTCAGCAGAAACCTGGTTGTAATGGTCAGTATCCATATGCAAGCCATCATACCAGTAAGTTTTAGGGAAAACTATGCATACTCCCTTGGACCATACTTTCTAGGCATGGACCCTACAATAGTTTTAAAACTACACAACACAACTAACCCAATTACTATTTATTTTTGCAGCCAACCCCCTAAAGAAGAAAATAGCTTTGTTTTCCAACCTTCCCCCCCCCCCCACACCCCCCAAAAAAAAAAAAAATTCTATGAAATTGCATTTAATGTGGGCCAATTTCTGTGTCGTCATTTCAGGGAAGCGATGCTTCGAGGGTTACGGATGCCTTGGAGGCCGCGGAGAACTTTGCAAAAATGAAGCTCAGTTAATTTTAAACATAGTGATTAATGAAGTATTTATATAGAGAAGAAAGGGAAGAAAAGAGCAGAAGCTGAAACATTTCATATCAAATCGAGGCAAATGCCTCCACTGTTTTTGTTGTTTGACTAACGAATTTTTGGTCCTTGCAAGGAAACATTGATAACGATAATTGAATACATCATTTAGGGTTGTGCCAAGTCTTTATACTGCCATTTATTAATTCTTTTATGAGCTCTCTTAAGTCTCTATGTTGCATCATTGATACCAAAAAGTATTGCTTAACAATATAATTTGTATTCATCTTGTTAGCCCCATCTAACTGTCAATGGCTTTAGACGTTTCCTTTTTTGTTTGTGCTACGTTTCTTCTTTTTCTTCAGCTTCATTTACCAGCCTGGCTATTGTTGCTCTTATAAATTATGACTTTCTTTTTCATTCACTCTACATGGATAGTCTGTTTTTTATACTTTGTAGAACTTCGTTTCTGGTTACACAATCACACACGCACACACAGTCTCTCTCTTAAATTCTTGTGATGTACTTGATATGGAAAAATATTGGAATAATATATGTACGCAGTTGCATATGTACCTACACAACTTGGGGCATGTTGGTTTTGCCAGAAAGTGCTATGTGAGATGCTAGTTTTCGGTGTTCTACATGCATAATTTTTGAAGAAAATTATTAAACTCTTGATTTTACTGTCTTTTTATTTTTTTGAGGAACTATCATTTCCACCCATCTTTGGATGGATAGTTTATGCCCAGGGGGATGCAAATGTAGAAATGTGTTCCCCCGTTGCTCATCATTTGACCTTTTTGGAAAAGTGAGGTAGTTTACATGCATGTTTATCTGAAAAGTGAGCAGCTAGGGACTCCCTTTTTGCAATCTCTTCCAGAGAAATCAGCGTCGTATGTAGTTTGTGCCAGAGCTCTTTCCCAAGCAAATGCGAACGAGCTTTCCCAGGGCTTCTGGAAAGTGCTTTCACGATTAACAAAGAGTCCTTAATGTTGCTATCTTTTGACTCGTTTACGTTTGTGTCAACTTATATACCCACTTCATGGTAGTGGAATCCGGGGGTAAGATGGGCGACCCAGCAGGATCAGGGAGCCGATCCAGGCACGTTAAACTCGGATTTGACCTGCCAGGTCCGGGCTGAACCTAGACCCAGGTTGTCTAACGGGTTGACTTGACCTGTTTTTTACCCGTAAATTGATGTTCTCCGATTCAAGCCATTGCAGGCAGTTTTACACACAATAACTGTTATTGTTTGATCTCATGCCGATGATGGTGACTCTCAGCTTTCATTCATAAAAAAAAATACTTTGACAGCAAAAATTGAATGAATTTGTAGCTGTTATTTGCAAAATGTGATACATATCCGTTATTTTGAAAGCCTTATTTAACAATTAGAAGTATAATTTGTGAAGCATTTTCAGTGGTTTTTTCCATTTATTCAATTATTTCCTGCGTTGACTCTACGCTTTTTTTTTTTTTGGGTTTAAATGCCCATCTTCCCAATATAACAGCCATTACCATTTTAGGGCCAGCCCGTCTCATATGATGTTATACCTGGTTTTTTTTTTTTACGGTGGCTGCATTGTACTCCGGGAAATTCAAGCACAAGATATTCAAGTTGTTCTCTTTCTTTTTTGAGAAACCAGCAGTGAGCTGCACGTTCTAACCTGTGTTGTTTTTTCGGGTAAAAATATACACTGTTAAAAATTATTGTCAAAGAGAGATTTATAGTTTTATTTTTATTTAAATTCTTTGTTTTTTTTGTTTTGGAATGCTAACGGCTACTTTCATTAATAAAAGGAGCAATAAAATTCTTGTGTTCTAATAAAAACGCAAAATGTTTGACAAATGCTCTTAAGTGAGTATTTTACATGGTTATAAATGTTTTACAATTAAATCTGAAATACTCTATATAATCTAATAAGCGCTAAAGCTAAAGGGCATTCAGGATTATCTTTCCATCTGTTAGAAAATACTCTCTCTCTCTCTCTCTCTCTCTCTCTCTCTCTCTCTACTATATATATATATATATATATATATATATTATTATACTACTACTACTACTACTACTATATATATATATATATATATTACTTACTTACTTACTTACTTTCTTCGTTTCGTTTCGTTTACTTT